GAGTGCCCTTTGAGCTTGGTTATTATCTTTCATTACCCAAACTAGGTAACATCATCAGTGCTAGAAGGGATTAGGACGTGTGGATGGAGGAGGAGGAGGACTGTGGGGTGTTTGGTGTTCTCTAATGTTGCTTGTTTTCTTGCAGATGTTTCAATACCCAAAGTAGGTACGATGATCGTTGCTGATGATGTTACCTAGTTATTAGGTTAAGGAAACATCTGCAAGGAACCGGGCAAGCTCAGAGGGCACCAAGGATCCCCTCATGTCACCGCAGAGCTACCCATGTTCTCTTTTATTGGCTTTACTTGTGTCCTGAGCTGCTTTCTTACCAGAATCATCCAATAGGTCAGGTTCAGGCTGTTGGGGCATAAGAGCAGAAATCCATCGCAGTTTCTCGCTCCTAGGAAAAAGGAAGAATGCGATCAGGTGGCAAGACCTCAGATGCTCTGTCCCTTCACTGGAAACATACTACGATGTGGTTCCTTGTGCTGCACTAAAACATGACTTGTTCTATCAGCATTCACAGGTCATGCTACACTATAAACCAGCGCTCTCCAAACTTGACAGCTTTAAGACTTGTGGACACCAACTGTTCCCACTGACAGAATTCCTCCTCCAGTCAGGTTAGCTCAGGAATTCTGGGAGTTGAAGTCCACAAGTCTTAAACTTGCCAAGTTTGAAGACCCTTGATATAGATAGATAGATAGATAGACAGATAGATAGAGATAGATAAGATAGATCGATCGATCAGGGGCCTTCAAACTTGACAGCTTTAAGACTTGTGGACTTCAACTCCCAGAATTCCTCCTCCAGTCAGATTAGCTCAGGAATTCTGGGAGTTGAAGTCCACAAGTCTTAAAACTTGCCACGTTTGAAGGCCCTTGCTATAAACCATCAGCCAAGGGATGTCAGACACAATTTTCTGAGTTGGCGGTGGCGAAAACCAGCTTCTTGGGAGTGGGCTGCTGGGGGTCCACAGGAGAGCCTCTAAGCTAAGATTCTGTGAAGTTTGGAGAACCCCCAAAGCCCACTCCTGGCTGGCCTTGCCCACCCCTCCCTTCCCCGGTGTCCCCACACGGCCTGTTTTGTATGCAGGTAAGTGCAGGGCGCACACAGAGGCTCAGGAAGAGTGAAAAATGGGCCTCCCGGAAGTTCAGGAAGGCCGGAAATGGGCCTGTTTCTGGCTTCGCCCTCCTGAAAAGCCTCTGAAGCCTGAAGAGGCCAAAAACGCCACCCCCCACACCGTCGTGCAGGAGGCCGACTAGACCACACCCACCATGGCCACGCCCACCCAGCAACTGGGCAGAGAACCCATTGCTAAAATTGTAAAACTGTAAAACTGAGCTGGGCTGCCTAGAGTTTCTCCCTGCCCGCCTTACTGAGTTTCTGTGCGGAAGAGGAATTCCACTTTCTTCCCCTGATTGTTCTGCAGCAGGAAAAGGCGGAAAAGGTTCTTGTTGTCGCCGTGGAGTTTCATTTCACACTTTTCCCCACGCACATCTGAGGAGGCCGCATGATCGAACACAATGAAACGCCCATTCCTGCCAGGGAGAAGAGAGAGGGGTGGGAACAACACAAAAGTCAATATTCACTGCTCTGGGCCAGGATTGTTTCATTCCTATCCTTCTTGCAGGAGAATACAGAAAGAACTATACTGGTTTCCTCTAAAGAGAATAACACAATGGAATAACAGAGTTGGAAGGGACCCCTTCCAACCCCTTCATCAAGCAGGAAATCTGTACCAAAGGTGCTTTTTCAAGGAGGCAACTGGACTCTCTGGTTTTTCTTCTTTTGAAGACATTTCACTTCTCATCCAAGAAGCTTCTTCAGCTCTGACAGGATAGTGGATAATGGAAGGATTTATATTCCTTGCAGAAAGCTGGTCATTTGCATCCTTTTAGAGGGTCATTGAGGCCACTTGGAAGTTTATCTGTGTACTCAGGGACACCTGAGTAGCACAAATGGTTCCAATTTTTTTCCTCTAGAAAGCCATTTCAGTGGATCATCTTGACTTCAGAAGTTGTGGGTGCTCCATCGTTGAAGGATGTCATGCCCCTGTTTGAGTCTGACTCTGAGGGAGAGGAGGAACAGCTGACAGGGAGTGGAAGTGTGGCTGCGGAGGTTGTGGAGGAGGCTGGGGAAGGGCAGAGGCCGGCTGAGCAGTCAGAGAAAGACTCAGGCTCACCCCCTCTTCATCCTAGGGCATGCAGGGAGGAGCAGATAAGGGAGAAATGTGAGGGCATGGTCTACGGGGGAGGAAGGGGCCCTGATCCCCTTCATGGGCTGTAGCTGGGAGGACTGTTTAAAAGGACAAACTGCGCATGGGCCAGTGCCGGTAGCAAAGCGTGCATTATTCTTGTCGGAGCTTATCTGTGTTTTGGCTTCCTCCCAACTGTGGTAGCTGCTTCTCTGGTAGAAGTCTGCAATTAATCATCCTTGCCTGCTGTACTAATTCCTTCAGTGTGCTTTGGGTTGGGTTTTTTATTTCACATTAACTTTACTTTGGGTGCGGACTGCATTTACTCCCTCCGTAAACTGTTTTCTTTAACAGTTTGCTATCCAGCCGAGAATAATTGGACATTGGGGCCGAGTTGGGGCCATTCAAGGGACTTTCTTCTATTTTTGTGACTTGCTTATTTTTGTGTCATGCCTTTGGTCATCACAGAGGCTTTCAAGAAGAGACTGGACAACCATCTGTCTGAAACAGTATAGGATCTCCTGCTTGAACAGGGGGTTGGACTAGAAGACCTCCAAGGTCCCTCCCAACTCTTGGCATTCTGTTCTGTCCCATTCATCTGCTTTCAATCAGGGTCTTTCTTCCTAGGTCAGATGTGTAAGGAAAAAAAGCAATGAGCCAAAGATCTTGCATGTCCTCATGAGGGCCGGTAAAAAGACTAACCACGTTTTTCTTTCAAGAGGCCACAGAGACATCTCTGCAGCCATCTATCTTATTGAGAAGAAGAACATCCGAAGGTGCAGTGAGACCCAAAACTAGAGGTGGGATTCAGCAGGTTCTGACCAGTTCTGAAGAACTGGTAGCGGATATTTTGAGTAGTTTGGAGAACTGGCAAATCCCACCTCTGACTAGCCCTGCCCCCATCTATTCTCCGCCTCCCATTGAGTCCCAGCTGATCGGCTGGGTCTTCTTTGGTTGCCCTGCACAGGAGAACAGAGCTGGAAAGCAGGTTAGTGGGGTGGGGAGGGAATGGGGATTTTGCAGTATCTTTCCCCTGCCATGCCCACCAAGCCACACCCACAGAACCAGCAGTAAAAAAAATTGAATTCCACCACTGCCCAAAACCTTTCTTCTTTGATCCTCTTTGATGAGTTCAAACGGCCCTGGATTCTTCAGAGACCCAGCCCCCTCAAACTTACTCCCTAGGTCGAGATAGGAGGAGGTAATCATTGAAGAGGTGGAGGTAGATGGGCCGGGTGGTAAGTTTCCATTTCAAGCTGATATTGTATTCCAGAGCTGTAAGTTCTCCATGTTTCACTAGCCGCCGGGACTGGGAGATAAGTGGGAAGATCTGCAAAGGGAAGGATTCTCCTTTTAGCCATCTTTTTTAAAGATAGATGGATAGATAGATAGATAGATAGATAGATAGATAGATAGATAGATAGATGATAGATAGATAGATGATAGATGGATGGATGGATGGATGGATGGATGGATGGATGGATAGATAGATGATAGATAGATAGATAGATGATAGATAGATAGATGATAGATAGATGGATAGATAGATAGATAGATAGATAGATAGATAGATGATAGCTAGACAGATAGATGATAGATAGATGGATAGATAGATAGATAGATAGATAGATAGATAGATAGATAGATATAGGTATGGATGGATGATGGATGGATGGATAGATAAATAGATGATAGATATAGGTATGGATGGATGATGGATGGATGGATAGATAGATGATAGATAGATATAGGTATGGATGGATGATGGATGGATGGATGGATGGATAGATAGATAGATAGATAGATAGATAGATAGATAGATAGATATAGATGAGAGATGAGAGATAGATAGATAGATATAGGTATGGATAGAAGATAGATAGATAGATAGATGAATAGATAGATAGATATAAATGGATAGATATAGATGATAGATGATAGATAGCTAGTAGATAGATACAGATGAGAGATGAGAGATAGATAGATAATAGATAGATGAGAGATGAGAGATAGATGAGATATAGATGATAGATATAGATGATAGACAGATGAGAGATAGATGATAGATATAGATGATGGATATAAATGATAGATGATAGATGGATAGATAGACGGATAGGTGGATGGATGGATGGATAGATAGATAGGCAGACAGACAGACAGATGGATGTTTGGTTGCTAAATGAGACATTTGTTAAGTGAGTTTTGCCCCATTTTACAAACTTTCTTGTTAAGTGAATCACTGCAGTTGTTAAGTTAGTTAACACGGTTGTTAAGTGGCTTCCCCATTTGACTTGGCTGGTCAGAAAGTCACAAAAAGTGATCACGTGACCCTCAGGACACTGCAACCACCGTAAATGGATGTCAGTGGTCAAGCCTCCGATTGTAAATCACGTGACCTTGGAAAAATGGTGCTAAGCCACTTTCTTCAGTGCCATCCTAACACTGAACGATGAATAAACGAACTGTTGTTAAGGTGTAAGTTGAGGACTACCTGTAGTAATTTTGATTTTCTTTTTTTTAAAAAAAGTTAAAATGCAAAATTTCCCTCCCACCCCAGAAAAGGGGTTTTTACAAAAACCATCAACCACAAAAAAAAAAAAACAAGACATTCAAAAGGTGACTTAAAAAGGGGACACAAACATATATACACATATTATGCCTCCTGTTGAATACTGATAAGTACATCGCAACAATATTAGTTTCCCACCCCATGAGAAACAGGCCCATTTTTTAAAAAAAAACCCCATCTAATTCTTTTTCCAAATTATGAACCTGTCATCTATCGATTATATTTATGACAAAATAGTTAGCAAGCAGAATGAAAAAAAAAAGATTAGAATTTCAAACCATCTGTTAACAAACTATTATTATATCCAACCCCGTAGAAAGTTTACCATCGTTTCTTCTCTGTCCCTTTTCAGTCACACTTAAATCGTTGCCTCATAATAATTCCCAGCTAGGCTTCTCCTCCAACAAATAGCAGGGCATTCATTGTCCAGTGTTATATTGTATGCATATTATCCATAAGTACATCTAAGAGCCAATATGGCCTAGTGGCTAAGGCCCCGAGCTATGAAGCAGGAGGTTGTGAGTTCAAGTCCCACCTTAGCCATGAAAGCCAATTGGGTGACTTTGGGCCAGTCACTCACTCAGCCCAGCCTACCTCACAAGATTGTTGTTGCAGGGAAAATAGGAGAAGAACGTGCCCTGTAAAAGTTATTTGTAAAAATAATAAAGGGGAGGAACTAAACCCACAATACCTCCAAGATATGCCTGTATTCTTATGCAGATAATGCAGCATGCTTCCAAGACACACACACACACACACACACACACTTACAAATGCTCACTGGTGCAAACTCTTTCAAGCCAATATGTCGCACAAATATTCAGTATTAAACACAGACCAGAAGCTACTGTATTGCTGTTGTTCTCTTGTTGGAGATTACAGCCCTGGGCTTACCCTGTCTTCTTTCTATATCTATATACATGTATATAAGCGAAATATCACTCACACATCATCACAAAATCTCCAGAACTGCAAAGCCTACAAATTTGAAATTTGGCACGTATGTTCCTCTTGGTTTTGAGGTGCTCACTAAGAAAGGATTTTTCAAAATGACCATCAGAGCATTAGTATTTCCTATATTATTATTATTAACATGCTCTGATGCTAAGGAGTTCTACTCCCTCTCCCCACCTGAAAAGAAATCTCTTCCAAATGCGAAACACAAGCAGAGGAGAGGAGTTTCAGTTTCACTTTGAGAGCTCCAAGCAGCTTTAGTACAGAACAGTTGAGCTAAGCCACGCCCAGGCTCCTTGCTGTCTCCTCCTTGTCCACACAGCAAAGACTGTTTCAGTTTCCAAACAGCCCTTAACTCTCTCACACACTCACAGGACACTAGCCAAATGAGTACCAATGGATGCTGGTAGGCAAAGGCAGAATTTTCCCCCCTTATTTTCCTCCCCCAAGACTAAGCCCAACTACATAGCTTCGTAGTGAAGCACGGGTATCCCGCTAGTTATTGCATAAAACACGAGAAAGAAATGAGGCGTGAGATTAAAAGCTGCAGAACTTAAATGGGAATTGCCCAAATTTACACCACAGGTGCTTTTCAAAAGACAACTGGACTTTCTTCTTGTTGTTTTTTTCTTGAAAACGTTTCGCTTCTGCTCCACTGATTGAGACGTCTAGCCAAATCTAGTTTATTCCATGAACAGGGGCAATACGTTTTGAAACCTTCCTGTATTTGCATCCACCCCTCTGATCTCCCCTCTCCCCTTTCCAGGTTCCCCACAAAAAGCCATCCAACCAAAGCTTTCTCAATCTTCCTTTTCACCTCAATTTGTTTTCCTTATCACCAAGTCATCTCTATGTTTTTATAATCAGTCCGCACTGACTCAGCCTCCCTTTGTGCTGGAGTTTTACCTCTTCTGGTTTTACGGCACGCTCCCTTCCACTGAATTCTGACTAACTCTGAACTTCGGACCGGACCTCCCCAGGCTCGTCGCCACATAACAAAAGTAGGGGATCTTTTCAAAAAGACCTGAGCTGTATATCCCCTTCCTATGGACAATGGATGGAAGCTAACCAAGGAGAGAAGCAACCTGGAAAAACTTCCGAAGACGGAGAGCAATGAACCAGCGGAAGGACTTGGTTTTGAAGAAGAAACTGGACAATCCCTTGTCTGAAACTGTACAGGGTCTCTTGCTCCAGCAGAGGGTACGACTGGAAGACCTCTGAGGTCCCTTCCAACTCTATGATTCTATATTCTACGTTCCTACAGTCGTTTCCAGGTCTTAGAACTTCTCCACCATTAGCAAACATCGTTAAGCAAGGGGCCCAAACTCACCTACCTTGCTTTAATGGGTGTGTACTGTATAACCTTTACCTCTATGTATGTATAAGGTCTGCTCATTCTATCTGCTTACACGGTCAAACTCAGATGCAGGGGTGGGCCTCAAAAATTTTAGCAATGGGTTCTCTGCCCGTTTGCTGGGTGGGCAAGGCCATCGTGGGCGTGGCCTAGTTGGCCTCCTGCACCATGGTGTGTGTCTGTGTGTGGGGGTGTTTTCGCTCTCCCCAGATTCCGGAGGCTTTCCTTGAGCCTCAGGGAGGGTGAAATCGGCCTCTCCCGGGCTCCGGAGGCCGGAAATGGGCTCATTTCTGGACTTCCGGGAGGCCTGTTTTACCCCCTCCCCAAGCCTCCACATGGATCCTGCACTTTCCTGCATCCAAAACGGGCCACGTGGGGACTCCTGGGAGGGGAGGGGAGGGGGCAGCCAGGGGTGGGATTTGGCGGTTCGCTGAACTGGCCATAAAATGAAGCTACGGGTCCACCCAAACCTGGAGGAGGAGAACGGTGGGCTCCTTGGT